GAATGGCTCCTCACCGGACTGTGATCTCCTTGAGAGCAGGGCCTGGGGTGTTCAACCTGCGGCCCTCAGGCTGCATGCGGCTCAGGACGGCTGTGAATGAAGCCCAACACAAAAATTGTAAATTTACTGAAAACATCATGGGATTTTTTTGTGATTAACATGTCCAGTGTATTTAATGTGTGGCCCAAGACAACTCTTCTTCCAGTGTGGCCCAGAGACACCAAAAGTTTGGACACCCCTGGCACAGTTCCTGAGCATTTTAAGTAAATGGAATTGAAATGCACAGGAGGGAGGCTTGACCAAGCCTGGGAGGTCAGACTTCCCAGAGGAAACGAGAAGTTACCGAGGCGGAAGGAACGTGGAAGCGGGAAGGCATCTCCGGCAAGAACAACAAAGGCTGAGGGGGAGCGGGGAGTCTGGCACGTGGCAGACACCACTCATCATTTGGCTGGGACTGCGGGTCTGCCAGGGCCGGTGGCTGCAGAGAGAGGTGTTTCACCCGTGTTCACTGATTGACTCAGTGAGTCTTCAGCGGCACCTGTCGAGTGCCCGGCCCTGTGCTGAGCCCTGAAGGTGGGAAATGAACCCAACGAGCCTCTGAGGAGTTTAAACGCAGTGGCTGGTGACACATCAGGTGTCTGTGCTGGCATAGGGCTTAGACTCAGCAGCAGGTGTGTGTGACGACCAAAACTGGTGTGAAGGTCTCTAACGCCTTCTCTCACTCTCCTCTCTGGGCCCTGCACCCATGATGACAGTTTGCAAACAGCACCAGCCTGTGGGTGGTCCTTTAAGGGGCACTGTTCAGAGATCCCATCTTGGCTGTGGAGGGAGGGTTGCTTGGGGGAGGACTGAATGAAGGCGGAGACCATGGGAGGCTGTTTCTGTGCTCCAGGAAAATGGTAGTGGTGATCTGGCCTGGGGTGCGGCAGTGGAGTGGAGAGAGGTTCCGGAGGTAGAAGCCGGGGATTTGGGAAGGGGGAGTTAAAGGTGCCTTCCAGGTTTCTGGTGTGGACACCTGGATTGAGAGCTGGTGACCTTGACTGAGATCTGGACTGGAGGAGATAGGAATTTGAGAGGGGGTGATGAGCTCAGTACTGAACATACTAAGTTTTATAGTTTTTTAAAGTTCAGATATAATTGACAGATGATATTAGGTTAAGGTGTACAACGTAATGATTCAATATTTGTATGTACTGTGAGACAATCACACAGGAAATCTTACTAATATGTCACTTGAACATACTGAGTTGTATATGGGACCCCCGTAGGAAGGAAGAGGGCAGCTGGAATTAAGGATCTTGAGAGCAGGTCCAGGGCCCTGTGGGTTTTTTTGTTTGTTTTGTTTTTTAAGATTTTATTTATTTATCTTTAGAGGGGAAGGGAAGGAGAGAGGGAGAGAAATATCAATGTGTGGTTGCCTCTCATGCATCTCCTGCTGGGAACTGGCCTGCAACCCAGGCATGTGCCCTGACTGGGAATTGGACCGAGGTTGTTTTTGGTTTGCAGGCCCGCACTCAGTCCACTGAGCTACACCAGCTAGGGTGGCCCTATGGTTTTTGATGGAGAAACTTCCCTGGTCCAACCTGGCATTGACTTCCTCCCGGAGTCTCTGACTGGCTAGCCCAGGTGGTAGTGGTGGTATTTCTCCCTGAGGGAGGTATGGGGGACAGACTGGGGTGCATATGTTGGAAGTAGGATTCAGGTGCCTTTTCTTGTGTGAGAGCTTGTGTGACCTCGGCCAGCTCTGGGGGAGCTGCAAGTCTCACTGTCACCACTGGGTGGCAGGAGTGCTTTGGACAAGTGTTCCATAAACTAGGGAAGCCCGGGCCCTTCTCCAGTGTTAAGCCATCTGCCCTACTCCACACAAGTGCCTGCATGGGCTTTTCACTTTGACCATGGGGGTGGGAACACATGTGCTGTCACAAGGATCTGGAGCTGAAGGCACGGTGGCTCCTGGAGTGGACGCAGAGGCAAGCTGCAGTTCTAGACCCGGCCAGGGCCTCTGGTCCAGCAGTTTCTTTCCTCATTCTGGAATTACCGCCTCCAGGCTGCCCTGTGCGAGGCCCCAGCCAGAGATTTTGCCTTCATCCAGCCCGGGGATTGGCAATGAACAGGAGGGGCTATGGCCAAACGAGACATGATGTGGGCACGTCCCCACCTGTGCCCCTCTGTGCCGCTAGACGGTGCAGGTCCCCGTGTACTCAGAGCAGGAGTACCAGCTCTATCTTCATGATGACGCTTGGACGAAAGCAGAAACTGACCACCTCTTTGATCTCAGCCGCCGCTTTGATCTTCGCTTCGTGGTGATCCATGACCGGTACGACCACCAGCAGTTCAAGGTGAGTTGATGCTGTGCATTTGCATGTGTGTTCGCTCCCCGGCCTGCTGGTTTCCTGCCGTGCCTTCCACGTACCTGAGTGATGCCACTGCCCTCACGTCTTCATCCTCAGAAGCGCTCCGTGGAGGACCTGAAGGAGCGGTACTACCATATCTGTGCCAAGCTTGCCAACGTTCGGGCCGTGCCAGGTACAGACCTTAAGATACCAGTATTTGATGCTGGACATGAACGGCGGCGGAAGGAACAGCTGGAGCGTCTCTACAACCGGACCCCAGAGCAGGTCAGTCCCGAGCCCCACAAACTCTCCTCCATGCCCAACACCCACTGACTCCATCCTCCAGTCTTTCACTCCCAGGCCCCCCATCTCCCACTGGCTGACACCTGTGTGCCTCCCCCCGCCCAGTCCTACCCCTCACTGGCCACCCACCCTGGTCTCCGTAGCCGTTCAGCTCCCTCACGATCGTTCGTTTCTCAGACTCCCTCGTAGACAGCCCAGTGCCCTGCACCTCCGTCTCCCCTCACTCCCCCAGGTGGCAGAGGAGGAGTATCTGCTGCAGGAGCTGCGCAAGATCGAGGCCCGGAAGAAGGAGCGGGAGAAGCGAAGTCAGGATCTGCAGAAGCTGATAACAGCGGCGGACACCACTGCGGAGCAGCGGCGCACCGAACGCAAGGCCCCTAAGAAGAAGCTACCCCAGAAAAAGGAGGCTGAGAAGCCGGTGTGGAGACTAAATCAGCCCAGCTCAGGGCGGGAGGGGTTGCCTCGCCCAGGGGACCCCTAGTGCAGGGGTGTCAGACTCATTTTCACCGGGGCCACATCAGCCTCGCGGTTGCCTTCAGAGGGCCGAATGTAACTTTAGGACTGTATAAATGTAACTACTCCTTAACTAGGGGCAAGGAGCTCGGTGCTGCCGCCAGGTAGAAACAAGGTGCCGGGTCAGATAAAACAAGGTGGAATGGCCCTCGGGCCTTGTGTTTGCTACCTGTGCCCTAGTGGTAGGCTCCGAGAGGCCTCAAGCTAGCAGGCTTCTGGGACTAACACTGGCCCTCTCCCTGTCACACCCGGGCCTCTGGAATTCCTTCTCCCCTAGGCTGTTCCCGAGACTGCAGGCATCAAATTTCCAGACTTCAAATCTGCAGGTGTCACTCTGCGGAGCCAGAGGGTATGTGTCACCTCCCGATGTATTTGGGCCCTGCTTGCCCTGTGGCCCCAGTGCTGCAGGCCACAGGGCTGGAGCAGTAGGGGAGGTTGCGCCATGTGCTAGGGTGGGATGTGGCCAGGCTGATGTCACAGCTGTCACTATATTCCACTTGCTGGCTATTACTTTTCCTGACCTGAGCTGACTCCAGGGGCCAACTTCCCTCCCACTCCCCCACTGCCTTCAGCTGAAGCTGCTTGTGGGGCAGAGGGCTGAGCGGCAGTGTCATTGCAGATGAAGCTGCCGAGTTCTGTGGGACAGAAGAAGATCAAGGCCCTAGAACAGATGCTGCTGGAGCTGGGTGTGGGTGAGTGTGGAGGCTGGGCCCCTCGTGACTGGCCTACCAGAGGCTGTGGCTAAAGGCAAGGGAGGGCAGTCCCTGTTGCTAGCCTTGCAGCACACTCTCCCTCTGCCCCTGCGCCTTCTAACCCGCTACCTGCAGAGCTGAGCCCCACCCCCACGGAGGAGCTGGTGCACATGTTCAACGAGCTGCGGAGTGATCTGGTGCTGCTGTATGAACTCAAGCAGGCCTGTGCCAACTGCGAGTATGAGCTACAGATGCTGCGGCACCGTCACGAGGCACTGGCCCGGGCTGGTGTGCTGGGGGGTCCCGCCACGCTGGCATCAGGCCCAGCCCCGGCCTCTGCCGAGTCAGCAGTACCTGAATCCAGTCTCGGCCCTGACCCCACCAAGGACACCATCATCGACGTGGTGGGTGCACCCCTCACACCCAATTCGGTAAGAGCCTGGACAGGCTGGAAGAGTGTGAGCTGGTCCTGCATGTGAGCACACGCACGTGTGTACAGGCTCAGATACCTCTAGTGCCTGCAGTGGGGATTGTCACTCTGAGGGGCTGAGACTGTGGGTGGGAGTGGGTGGTCAGTGTGAAACACGCACACCAAGCCTGAATCAGGCCTCGGGGCCACTGACCTCAACATCTTGTGTGTCTCCACAGAGGAAGCGACGGGAATCGGCCTCCAGTTCCTCTTCTGTGAAGAAAGCCAAGAAGCCGTGAGGGGCCCCGGGGGTAGGGTAGTGCTGCTGTGTAAATAGAGCTGCTGAGTTGGACTGGGCTGCGTCCTTTTCCTTCCCACCACTTCCGATGCCCCTGGCTGGGTGCGTGGACAGGAGGGGGTGCCCACGCCCACTTAGTGGGTGCTGGTGGGGCTTGCCTGCATGGATGTCCCTAGTGGCCCCCTATCACTAATCAGCATTCACGTTGCCCGGACACCTGTGCCTAGGAACACCCGTGGTTCCGCATGCAGCAGGGCCTCGGGCAGCAGTGGCCTCAGACCCAGCAGCTTCCAGCAGCCCCATGCTCAGTCCCTGTGGCCATGTGCATATTCAGTGAGGCTGTCAGAGGTACCCTGGTGACAATTAGCCACACTGGTGGCCTCGAGCCCACAGCAGCCTGGAACAAGCTCTGACCCCTACCCTTCCTGATGGCATCAGGCACGCACACCTGGTCCACACACCCAGGGCCCATTTCCCCGACTTTATTCAGCGGCACGTTCACAACGGGGATGGGGCGGACACAAGGTGGGGCCTGACCTGTCCTGGAGCCCTGGGGGCACCACACACCATGCACTACAGATAGGAGGGGGCACAGGAGGGCTTGGTGGCCCCAGCAGAAGCCTGTGTACCAGGGAGGAGGCGGTGAGTACCTGGGTCGCCCTAGCCCAGGCCCATAATGTGGGGGGCTGATACTGGGCTGAGGTGGAGGGGTGGGGGTGGGGGCCACAAAGTATCTGCTCAGGAGGGACCAGGTGGCCAAGCCCTTACCTAGGGCGCAAGCCCACAGGGCAGGCGGGGACACTGGACGCAGCGCTGCACTACTCTCCCTTTCCCCTCTGGTGAGGGGGAGGAGGTTCTGGGCTGGGCCAAGCAGCTACCCTGTACTGCCCCATCCTGTCCTCGGCCCATCAGAACGGCTTTGATGTCTGCTTGAAGATGAAGCCTCGATATGCAAGTGTCTTCATGATGTTGGCGATGTTCTTGCAGTCATCTAAAAAGAGGAAGGGAAGACATTCAGAGGGGCCCCAGATGCTCCCCTTCCACGCCCACAGGTGTTCTCAAATGGGTGGGGGTGGGAAGCAGGGTCAGATGCAGGAGCCGGACTCTAAACCAGGGGCCTGTGCCCTTGTGGCAGCACCTCCAGCTTTAGGGTGGGCTGGGTGATGCTGGCCCGGCGGGAAGCCTGGTCTTAGTGCTTCTCGGTCCCATAATTCATGCTGGAAATTGGCCGGCGTGTCCCGCCCCTGCCCCAGCAGTGATGTATGGGCGCCGTCGCAGTAAGAAAAAGGCAGAGTAAATGTGTAATTTCTCCCTTGACGGCCCCCGGCCGCTGGGCGATCCTTCTTGTTGCCGCCGCGTGGGGACGGCCTGTCCGCCACACTCCGTCTTCCCGCCACCCGCCTTGATGTCTCCATTTCATTACTGTGCGACCATTCATCACACCCACGGCCAGGGTGACTTTGCCAGCACTTGTGTGTGTGTGGGAGATGTGGCCCGGGCCATCATCACTGGTGACAAGGCACAAGCCTTGGCACTTCTGGGCCAGGGCCCTGGATGACACCTGCCCCAAGTCCCAGGCTCATGGGCTCAAACGGCAGCCGGACTGGACACCTGCTCCCGTGTAGCCCCAGGCCAGTGGAGAGGGTCCGGCTTTGGTTCCCTGGTGCCCTGGCCAGCAGCCTCTGACCCGATACACCCGAGCCCACATGCCGGTCAGGCTCCAGCCCTGCCGGCTGCATCCCAGGTTAAATGTGTCGTGTCTGCCAGCCTCTTGTGGCAGTTCTGCCAGCATTGTTCCCCGTGTCACGGGCCAGGGTGAGATCTGTCCCCACCAGCAGCACGCTGAACTGCCCAGAACTTGGCCTACTACATACATACACTACTATACCTGGCACAGAAATGGCCCAAGTGCCTGGGTGTTCTCCCACTGTGCGGAGCAGCTGCCAGCTCCCTGTCCCTCCACCAGCCTCTCCTCCCACCGCAGCTGCTTCTCGGCCATAACCAGGGCCTCAGCCGCCACCAACCCTCCTGGGATCGATGGCTCAGACAGCAGAAGTATTGTACATCAATGTCATAGTCAGAAATGTGAGGGGTGGTAAGGTCAAGGCAGGGTCAGGAGGCCTCCACAGCTGTCAAGGACCAACCCCTTTCACTGAGCCACGGAGTCCCCCACCTGTCCCTTCCAGGACCTCAGACTAGGGAAGGGGATCCACCAAAGCCAGAAAAGTCATGAGAGTGGAGTGAGGTTCTGGTCAGCCAGCCACCAGCTCTGCAGCCCCTGCACAGGCTGGATGCGTCGCACCAGGCCTGTTCCGCAGAGTTCAACATGAATGTGTTGACGGTGGGCGTGGGCGTGGAGAGGCGACCCAGGACTGAGACACAGGGACACCTTGTTCTTCCAGGGACTCTGGAAGTCACAAGGGTTGGTCTGAGGCAGAACAGAGGGAAGACAGATGGGTAGGTGGTGGCGGCCATGGCAACTCCAGATGTGACCCGTCCCTGTGGTTTATGGGCCGGACACGCGCCCCGCTCATCTGAGGCCCTGTCATTTGTCTCCCTTAGCGTATATGCCCGTGCTGTTGGGGGGGGGGGTGGAGGGAGGGGGCTGTGACAGGAGGTGGGCAGTTGGCTGGGAGTGGGGCAGGAGGGGCAGGGCGGGAGTGGGACAGGAAGAACCCTGGGAGGGGGTATGGTTCAGGAGAGGGCCCAGGGCTGTGAAAGGACGGTTTCTTCCGAAAGAAGGCTGGTCTTATCAGGCACCTCCCGTCCTGTCTCCTGCACTTGGGGACCATGGCCGCTCTGCATATTAAGAATAAGTCCCCTCGTTATCTGCAATTACCCAGCAGCCACACACCTCATTTCTTCCAGCAGAAAAGAAAATTAGTTTTCTATTGACTTCATCTGGCTCCTCCCTCATTGCTGGACAAATCACTCAATCTGCCTCCCCCCCCCTCAAGAGAAAGTGCCCAGCCCCTTCTTCCCTCAGGTCACCAGCCATCCAGAGGGCAAGCACTGACCTCCCACCTGTGCCTCACCCGGAGCTGGGAGAAGATTCACGTGCCTGTCTCCATCCTTGACCTCTCCCAGCTCGACACACTGGATGGAGTGTGGGCTACCTGGGCAGCACACCGGCCCTGCCTATGGCTCTCCCCTGAGCTCCAGACCACAGGTCCAAATGCTGTAACGGCACTTTCTAGATATTGACACGAACTCCAAACACCTGTAATCACCTGCTTGTCTTCCCCAGACCTCTTTACTGCCCTGTGCCCCCATCTCAGTGAAAGACCCTCAAATAACCAAATGAGAAACCTGAGTCAGGCCTGACACCTCACCTTCTCCTTTGCTCCCCAAATCTACTCAAGCGTGAACTACAAATTTTATTTTATTTTCTGTCTAATCATCTAATACCCATCATTCAGGCAGGCCCCTGCCCCCCCCCCCCACCAAACCAGCCCATCATTTCTCACTTTTACAGTAACTTGTCCTCTTTTCCTCTCTAATCCATTCTCGTTACTTTAGTAATCTTTCTTACACAAATCTGATTACACCATCCTTTCCTCTTTAAAGCCCTAACCTGTCTTCCACTTCCTGTTTTCTGACAATGACAAGGCAGGCTCTGGAGTGAGACCTGTTTGGAGTCTTTGCCCCACTTCGCTGCATGCCCTGCAGTGAGCCGTTTCTCCGAACTTCAGGTTCTCCCACTAGGGGGCGACAGTGGACGCTGCCTCAGTCTGACAAGGGTTGAACAGGTGATGCACCCACAGGTCTTGGTGCTTCGTGTTTGGAATGTCTCTTCTCTTCGAAGGGAAAGCAAGACTAACTTTCCAGATGACCCAATGGTGAGGAAGCATACACTGTACAATCTATGGCACAGATGACTTAGGGGCTGTCGAACTCAAATGACAGTCGACCTCATTCAAGTTCGCCAGCCCTTCACTCCGCCAACGCTGACTGACTGCTGGTCCTGTGCACTGGGGATTGTGGAGTCTACATTGCTGCCACTGCTCCACTACAATGAAGAAAGAGACCCAGACTGGGAGAGACCTCGCTTCAGTTCACCCAGCACATCCGTGGCACAGCAGCACATGCCAGTGCAGGCTCTCTCCAGCCCTTGAAGCCTCTGTTAAGAGTCAGTGCAACCCATTCATGACTAGTTTAATCAATGGCATAGAAAGAAAACGAGAAAACTGGGCAGAAGCAGGGTGGAAACAGATCTGGGTCTTTCAACAGGCATGCAGAGAGCAGCAGGGTGAGCCTCTCAGAGTCCTCTGCTCTGAAGCCCTGGGGCCACCAGGACCAGTAGCCCCATCTTGTGGCACCTCTCACTGAGCTAATGAGGTGAGCTTGAGACTGGTACGTGGTGGTGGGGGGCCAGTGGAGGCAGGCCACAGCCTTGTGCTCACATTGAAGGTCTCCAAGAATGTCTTCCTCACTCCAAATCCTAGAAGTCTAAGCTGTTTTATTTTCCTGCAGGGTCATCAACTTGTGAAAAAAAAAATGATCCTCTTCTCATGGGCATTAATATTCTTAATGTTGGAACTATTTTTATATTGCCAAGACCATAATGGGAGGGGTGCAGTGGTATAAATCCCTGAGAGGTGAGTGGAGCTAGTGCCTAATGAAGGCTCAGCTTGTTGGCTGGGCCCAAGGGGGATCCTGTATCTGCTCAGCAAAGGAGCTGCTAGTGGAAGGTGGCTCAGGTCACTGAGGACACCCCGTGAGAGCTCATAGAGGGCAATCGCCTGAGGCTGACATGCTCCAGTTAGCTGCACCTGTCTAGGAATTGAGCAGTAAAGGACAGGGACAGGGAACAGGGCCTGGACCAGGGCCACCCCCAGGAGGGATGGGGCCCAAGGAATGTCTTGGAGGGTCATTTGTGTGCTCACCCGGTCAGCCCACACTGACACCTGTGTGCTGCTGGGTGTAGGTGGGCCACAGTGGGCCCAGGGCTGCACAAGTTCTGCAGCTCCCTGCCCTCCGAGAGCGCAGACAGACCTGTAGGTGGTGCAGTGGGAACAGTGCTGTGAGAAAAGGAGGCACAGAAAGGTCTCTCCTGCAGTGTGAGGATCAGGAAGGGGTTCCCAGGAGGACAGGACGAAGTTAAGCAGAGGTTCGAGGGCATGTGGGAGGGGCTAGCAAGCAAGCTGGAGAGGAAGTAAGGGAAGCGTCCCTGCGTGGTGAACAGCACAGGCACATTCCAGAGGGGAAGGTGGAGTGTCCAAAAACAACTAAGTTTGGCAGGTGGTGAAGGGGCATGATGAAGAGGAGGCAGGGGAGTGAGGGGCAAGAGATGAAGCTAGTGAGGTCAGCAGTGACCGGCCAGAATCCTTTACCCCAGAAAGCCCTGAATACTGACCTAAGGAGTTTAGGATTTTATTATTCTGGGAATGACAGGGAGACACGTGTTTAAGGAGGAGTGTAACTGGACTGATCTGTGTTTCAGAATTACCGTTAGATTAGTCCTCAAGGCAGAGACACCAACGAGCCGATGGTACAATGGTCCAGGCCAGAAGTGCTGGCCCAGAGCTTGGCCGCTGGTGGAGGAAACCTATCAGTGACATGGAGAAGTGGATGCAGGCGGGAAGGTTTTTAGGAAATACAGCAAGCAAACCTTCATGAGGTGATTGGAAGGGCTGGAGGAGGGAGCAGTCTAGGACCGTAGTGCCACTCACTGAGAGAAAGCAAACCAAGAGAGAGCACAGGTTTGAGGCGGTGACGAACTTAGCTCCGGATGTGGCAAGTCTTGAGGTTCCTTCAGGACATCGAACTTACCAGACATTTCCTTTATGGCTTCTAGGCTTTGCATCTTGCTCTAAAAGGTCTTACCCACCCTAGTTTTATTACAAAACTATCGTATATTTTCTTCTAACACTTTGTTTTTGTACTTTCAAACTGGAATTTACTCTGTATACGGTGAGAAACAGAGGCTCTGTTTTCTCACTAGAGGACAGCTGGCTGTCCTCTCCACACTGACTGGACTATCTGCACTTT